GGGACGTACTGGGATGACGATTGTGCATTAAACATCCTTGAGAGTGGGGACAGAGATGATGGAGGTGGAGGCTGATAAGATGTGTCTTGGGGGGAGGCACATGTGGCAGGAGGGGGATGAGTCGAGCCAGGAGGGGAATTAATGAGGAGAGATGGGAGGTGAGGGGACGGCGACGCACGCGAAGAGACGTGTTGAGGGTTAGAGGAAGAGAAGATTTTGGAATTAATGGGGGCTTCAACGGGAGCATTAAAAGCATGACTTGGGCCTTCGAGCAAGGTTGGCTTAGTGACAAGTGGGATTTTGAAAGTACGATTTGCAGTTCGAGACTAGCGTGGGGAGGGAGCCATGTTGGATGGCCCAGGGTACGGAGTATGGGCGGAGCATGGTTGGGGGAGAGGATAGTTAGGTGTGCGAAAGGGCTATGGAGCAAGAACGGGTTGAGGTGGAATATGATCCAGGGTAATTTGCAGACCATTAGATTTAGGAGGCTCTGCAGCAGGATAGGAATTCTTACGAAGTAATGTGGTCTAGCCTTCGTGGTCATGCCTGGGTTGATCATGGTGGTTGGAACCTTTAATGGAGATCTTGATGTAGTACGAGAATTTGTTGCAATGGAGGTGAAGAAGGTTGGAGATGCTATTGATTGATTCTGAGGTGATTAGAAGAATGACATTTCCTAGAGGGAGGGTGCTAAAGGATTTCCAATGCACCAAGACAAATTCGCCACAGCTATCACCAATAATTTTGAAATGTGCTGGGACCAAAGGTGAAGAGGGACTCCTTCTATCGAAATCCAGAATTTAGATTTTCTGTGAGCTTCAGGGAAAGTTTACCCCCATGGAAACTAAGGTTGGCAATGTGAGTATCTAGCAGACGAGAGGGAGTGTCATGGAGGGAGACAAGGTAATTACCATTATGCAAAGGCTTGCAGGTGAGCTTGGGGGTCTTGAAGACTTCTTGTAGCCAAGAGGTTATGCCCTTTACATCGTTGTGTTGGGGATAAAAGGAGCCAATGAAGGAATTTCGTAGGGAAGAAAGATGTTCTTCAATCTCCAGTGAGGCATTCAGCTAGACATGGGGGGTGGAATTAACAAAAGAGATATAGGAGTTAGGTTTTTGGCTTAGGGGACGTTTTGATGATAGAGGGGCTTGTGGAGGCTACGGTGTGGTTGGTTGATGCAGCTATCTGTGTGTATGATTTCGAGGTGACCTCAGGAGGAGGATGAGCGGCAGAGGTTGAAGGGGAAGGCTGAGGCTGCGTGAGGGAAGTGGGAAACTTAGCCTGGGGTTGGATAAACTGTTTGTAAAGCCTGTAAAGGGGTGGGAAGTGAACTAAGGTTTCCTTAGGTTTGAGTATTTTCTTCAGTGCTTTCATGGATTCAAAGAGGATCAGTAAAGCCTTGGAGCTGCGGTATGTTAAGGATGTATGTTCTATGGGTCAATTTGAAACCGAAAATTTACAATGCCTATCTTCTCAAGTATAAGGATTCAATTGTGATCAAGCTGGGGTTTGGTCGATGTACTAGGATAGTGGCAAAGGTGCCTATTACCTAAGGATTAAGCTCTCTGCTTCCTGGAATAGAGATGAAATTTGATCAAAACCCAATCTCTGATTGGGTATTCAGTTAGTGGGTAAGTTGCCCATCTTCTTAATCTCAGAGTGAACTAGGGTTTTGGATTCTGCTAATAGATCAAGCTTGGATTGAGAGAGAGGCAGAGAGGGGTCGGGGTATGTATAAAACTTTCTATCATTAATAATTTAGATATGGAGTTCGGCTTGGAGTTGGTTGGGAAGACCTCAAATTTCTGGCCATCTGTTGCTGGATCTTCAACCAGATTGAGCGGCCATGGTGAAGAACCAAGGGCTGTGTCCTCTTGTCTCTGAGCGAGGGATCGGCAGTCGTCTCATCAGAGGAGCTTGTATGTGTTACTTGCATGCTTGATTAACCAAGAAAACCACCAATCTCATTAATCCTCCAAAACCAACGCTAAAATCACTGTATCATCATAGGTATCTATTAAATGACCATGGCCATATCAATAAGAGGAATAATAACTTTAATGATATAGCTGAGAAGAAGCATCGTGGTGGTTGTGGTGATAGAGATTATGATGATGGCCATGGATCATCAAATGACTCTCTGCTACCTGGCCTCCATGACGGCATAGCCCTCAACTGCCTTGCCTTTACTTCGCGATCTGATTATACAACCCTGGCCTGCCTGAACAAAAGGTTCATTTCCTTGATTTACAGTGGCTACCTCTATAGCTTGCCTCTACAAATGGGTATTCTTGAGCACTGGGTTTATTTGGTTTGTGATTTGAGGGGGTGGGAAGCCTTTGATCCGAAGAGGCAGCGATGGAGCCGATTCCCCAGAATCCCATGTGATGAATGCTTCCACTTTGCGGAGAAGGAATCACTTGCAGTTAGCACCGAAATCCCATGTGATGAATGCTTCCACTTCTTGTTTGTTTCATATCGGTTTGTACCAATGTAGTGTTTTTTATAGATTTTCATAGCGGTATTTTTTATATATTACACTGTTTAGTGGTTGAGTGGAATTTACATTAATTGGCCTGCTTAAGTAATCTGTAGTTCTGAAGCACATCTAAATTGTTCCTTGATATATAAATGACAATAATGGAAGTATTTTCTAACCAATTCTCATAGAAGTTGCCGAAGTGTGAAGGAGAGGTTTGGTTCAGTCTGATAAGGCACTAGGATATTGTTCAAATGAAGACCAATGCATTGTATATCTAATGAGGTTCGTACATCTGGAATATAAAAAATACTGTAGATAGTTTTCATGGGAAAGCCACATCAAGCTACCTTTTAACATCTTGATAGTTCGTTAGGTGAGATGGATGTTTTGGCCCAATTGGAAGGACCATTCAGTGAAAGATGCAACTTTGATGTGAAACTGTACTGCTTGACACTGGATTGAGAAAGGAGATATGATTGATCCTTCTAGTACTTTGTTAACATTGATGTTTGAATCTTTAGATGTTCTTCTGTCTATATAAAATGATTTACTTAAACAACTGATATGTTTAAAAACTCAATCACATTTCATTGCGTTCTGTTTAGAAGAGTCTGAAGACCCAACTGTTTAGGCAATCAAATAATTAGCCGAAAATAGGCATTTCCAAAAGTTTTTTATTGTATCATTTGGAATTGTTGTGGTATTTTGGCAAATGTTCTGGTGTTTTAATGTTGGTTGAAAACCCATCCCCAACTTTTGCCAACCTCGGCCACAAACTTAAATTTGTACCACGGTTGTGTGCTTCAAGGTGCTTATAAAAAATTAATTTTAAGGGGTCAAAACAAAAATGGGAAGAAATAAGAACCCATGCCCTGCATGATGTTAGTCATAGCTAGAATAAAAGACATCTCAGTCATGCAGACATTTCCTGTTTAGTATTGTGTGTTGATGTGGGGTGTCTAGGTGTCCAAGTCCGTGACCTTGTCCCTGTGGTTTTGTGGTTGCTTTATCTATTTTTGTAACTCTTTCATTAGTAGTTTCCTTGCTCATCTGTAATTGCTCTATTTCACAGCCTTTTCCAGAACCTGGGTTTCCTTTTTGTGTTTTCACTTTCATTTTTCTATTATAATTTATGAATCTGACTGATGTTTGTGGATACTGGTGTCTATCCTCATCTCCTTATATTGCTTCTAGAGGATCTGGTGGTTTTCTATGCTCTGTTATGCCTATGCTACCCATGCTAGCGGTAGCAACAAGCTTTTTCCCTGCTAGGAATGTATGCTTTGACGTGCTAGCAGAGAAACTATTAATGATATTGGGTTCTTTGCTAAGATCTTGCACCTGTTGAAGTTGCTGAATGCTCTGTTGTCAGCCACTTCTCTCGTCTATGTATATTTTTTTTATAATACCTTTTTAGAAATATTTAATTTACAGTCAGACAAATGCCATGTATCGAGTTGCACCAGTAGTGCAGTCAAATGGAAACACATGCATGAAACAATTAGCTAAGAGAGGGAAGCCCCTGTGTGAAGCTTGCGGGCTATATAAACTGGGGACATATACCCTTATGATATAAACTGGGGACATATACCCTTATGGCTTGTAATTTTCTATATTTTGTTCATAGAAAAAGTAGTGCCCAAACATAGAAAAAGTGGGCAGCCCCCAAATGCCTACGAGTTTCCATGACATCCGATCTATCTAAAGTATCTGCTTCTTGGTTCCCTGACTAGAGGATGTGTCAAGAAGAGATCTCTATTACTTTCCCTTTCAATAGTAAGGAATGTTGTGCTGACTGACTAACTATGTATGCTATTTGACATGACACTTTGTAGTCGTGATTGGGGCTCCTCAATTGGATGCCTGTTGTATTATCCTATATCCTGTACTCTTTATCTAGTATTGGACTAACTTCAATTCCTGTCAAAAAATTTCTACTGTCTTTTCTTAGGCTTTTACAGTTTCTAATTCTGTTCCTAGTTTCCTGTTCATTTTACTAATAACTGTATCGGCTTTGTTTCTTATGATTTTCGTAATGTTTGCTTCTGTCTCCTTTTTTCCCCTTCTCTTTTTCCTTTTGTGTGGGAAGTACTGAAGTACTTCCATGTCTTGAATCTAAATTATCTGAATCAGAATGATTAAAACTAGACCAGAGCAGCCAGTTCAATATAGGACTTGTAACTAGTCCAGTCCAACCTGAAAATGAGATAACTCAAAATTGGTAAAAAAATTTGACCAAATTGGCTGGTTTTGCTGTTCAGACTAGCTGGGAAATTTTTTTGATAAACGTTTTCTATTTTTTTTTATTTCCATTTTGGTTTTAAAAGAAACTGGTCTGACCATTAGGGTCGCCTGTTGCACTTGTTGGACTGGGATTGGACCCCTCACATGTTTGGCCTTCTATCTGCTCTGGATATCACTGGTCTGAATCATGATTGCTGCATTGTGCAATAGTTGCTCAATGATATTGTTATGGACTTCTGCTATTCTGATTTGTAAAGGAAAATATTCTTGCAGGTTCAACTATATGCAGATTCTGAGACATTTCGCCATATGGGTGAGAAAGCCTGAACTGCTTTCCGTCTTTCACTTTTTCTTTCACACTTCCTTTGAATGGGCGTTTTGAAGTATATGCTACCATTTATTGTTTACATATTTTGACAACGGTTGATAGCTGCCTTTTTTTTGGTGTAATATCTTTTACAGGTAAAGAGCATGCACTTGTCATATCGAATCACAGAAGTGACATTGATTGGCTTGTTGGATGGGTTTTAGCACAGGTTGATTTCTTTATCTTTGAAATATATATTTTTCATGGTTATGGTCCTAACTAAGTTATCAGCAATATCCACAATTTACATTTTACTCATATTCTTTATAAACACTGCTGAAAGTGAATCTGTCATTTTTCTCTATGGTAATCTTATTTACATGCCCATTGCAGCGCTCGGGTTGCCTTGGTAGCACACTCGCTGTGATGAAGAAGTCATCAAAGTTTCTCCCGGTGAGGCATCTCCTGATATTTTGGTGTTTGTTTGCTTTATAATAAACATTGCCATATTACAGGAGAAAAGATAAACATTTCCATGTTTCTTGTGCATGAGCCTTCAGGATTGGGTTAGACTCATACCTCACCCCTGTTGCAAATTAACGATGAGGATGTTGGAAATGTGCTATTTAGATGTATAATTTGCATGAAGAGGGGTAACAGAATCGGTTTTATTTCCGAGTTTCTGATGCTTTTCCTCTTTTTATTGGCATATGATACTTGTTCATCAATCCTGCATTACTGATAGTAGCTCTAAAGGCACATTGAGCAGTTGTGTTTTGCTTATTATCTAGAACGTGTCTGTCATGGGTATTAAATGTTACACTGTACTCTTGGGATGACTATTTCAGATTTTGTTCAATTTTGCTGGTCTAGATCATCGTTACAGTCACACATGGTTGTTTAGGGTATGCATCCATTGTTCCAGGTGTACAAGTTGTCATAAAAATAACATCTTGGAGAAGTTTCCTGAATATCATACCAATTCTAGGAATTGTTTATCAACTGCCAGCCACCAATAAAAAAGGAAAGAAAGGAAAGAATTGTCAACCCAAAATGAGAGAAACCTGTCTCATATATATTAGAAGCGTGTCCTGACCTATATTAGAAGTGTGCTTTAATGGAATTAGAGTTGTTGAATGTTTTAGAAATGTTTCTCAACCTATATTTTCTTGAAATGATGAAATTTGGGTTCTTTTTTATAATGGTGATATTTGACTCTTATTGGAGTAGAGTATAAGTCAAATATCTATAATTTACACTTATCTATGACTTTGTATGCGCTTATGGGTTTGACTTGTACCAATAGTAATATGTTTTGAAAATTAAGTTGTAAGAAAAAAATGTGCCACTATACAATGAATCCATATCATGGTTACTATTTCCATAAATGTGCTAGTAAAATTTCCTGGGTGTGGTTTGCATAGTTGCAACCTTAAACAATCAAAGTAAGCCGTGCCTCCAAACTTTGTCATAAGATTCAATTTTGGTGTCCAAAATTTTTAGGATGACACAAGAATCTATTGTCATCTCTAATTATAAAATTTTAAACTCGAAAAACGTTTCAAATCAAGCAGATCTATAAATACATGAAAATCTTGCAAATGGACGTTCTAGATAATATGTTGCAAGATGTACTATTTTTGAGACTTGAAATCTTTCTTTTTTCCATATCTATACATCTCGATGTCGAGATGATCAATTAGATGTTTTTCCAACATCAAGACAACCTTTTTCGAGGGATTTTTGAGGTGTGCCTTAGTTTTACATTTTAAGGTGTCGACCTTATATAAACTTTTTCCAAATTTCCTACCTTTCTACAAACATACCAATGAACATTTCTAACTGAATGCCCATGCCCTTGAAACGTTTTAGAGGCTAAGTGGTAAATACGGTCCAGACCCATGATGCATAGATATGGTTGCGGACAAGACTTTTATATGTGTGCGAGTTGTACACATGCGTGCACATTTGGCATGCATGTGAGTGCGAGTGCGTGTGTGCTGACTCACTCTCTTGACTAGAGTGGGAGTCCTATGCATGCTGTCGTGCTGGTGTTTTTAACTTGCACTTCGCGCAATTTCTTGGTTAGTCTGTGTACCACTGGCAGCAAATTCTGTGGTGGATAATTTGTCGACTTTGGAAGTAACTGCAAAATATTGTGAGCTTGGAATTTATTGCTGGTATAAAACTTTCTCTTGCGTGAACTTTGATATTTTTGTTTTTTCTCCTTACTCAAATCTTAACTTTTTTTATCATTCCTATTAATGTAAAATTGAACACTGTGCTTGTGAGTTCTTGGTTTGACATCTCCCTTGTTATATTATGACTAAATATATGGTTATCGATAAATATTTCAAATCTTTGCTTTTTATCATTCCTATTAATGTAAAATTGAACACTGTGCTCGTGAGTTCTTGGTTTGACATCTCCCTTGTTATGTCATGAGTAAATATATGGTTATCGATAAATATTTCAAACGGTTACTTGTAAAGCAAATTCAATCATTATGCTGAGTGAGTGATCTGAAATTTCCCAATCGTAATTCATATAATTTACTGGCATGAATAATCTATCGTGCGAAAATTGGTGCATCCTTGGTATTATTCATCTTCATAGACATGATTGGCATTAGCTGTAGTTCAAAAATTGAGCCCCTGGCCACCTAGGCTTCTGCCTTGGCGGCCAGGTTTGAAGAGTGCCTAGGCATGCCCTAGGCAGGCACCCTAGGCAGAGGTTCCTCTAGGCATCCGCCTAGAGTGCCTGCCTAGGCTTTATAAATTACAGTTTTTATATTATGTAATATTGTATATGGTCATAGTACTATAAATTAGTTGGGAAAAGACAATGCTGGTGATACATACATATATTGCTAATACATGTGTCAACAATGTTTCTTAAAAAAGAAATATTATCGATTGTATGGTACAAAGATATTAATAAACTGTTAACTATCAATACCACGTACAAAGTTATTAATATAATATTATATAGTACCGTTGACTTCAGTTGCGATAAGGCTTGGATGATGATGATGATGCTAGTAAGTTTAACTACAATACAAATTCTGTGGTGGATAATTTTTCGACTTTGGAAGTAACTGCAAAATATTGTGAGCTTGGAATTTATTGCTGATATAAAACTTTCTATTGCGTGAACTTTGATATTTTTGTTTTCTCTCCTTACTCAAATCTTTGCTTTTTTATCGTTCCTATTAATGTAAAATTGAACACTGTGCTCGTGAGTTCTTGGTTTGACATCTCCCTTGTTATGTCATGAGTAAATATATGGTTATCGATAAATATTTCAAACGGTTACTTGTAAAGCAAATTCAATCATTATGCTGAGTGAGTGATCTGAAATTTCCCATTTCTAATTCATATAATTTGTTGGCATGAATAATCTCTCGTGCGAAAATTGGTGCATCCTTGGTATTATTCATCTTCATAGACGTGATTGGCATTAGCTGCAGTAAAAAATTTGAGCCCCTGGCCACCTAGGCTTCTGCCTTGGCGGCCAGGTTTGAAGAGTGCCTAGGCATGCACCACGCTAGGCAGAGGTTCCTCTAGGCGTCCGCCTAGAGTGCCTGCCTAGGCTTTATAAATTACAGTTTGTATATTATATAATATTGTATATGGTCATAGTACTATAAATTAGTTGGGAAAAGACAATGATGGTGATACATGCATCAATGTCAATATATTTCTAATACATGTGTCAACAATCTTTCTTAAAAAAGAAATATTATTGATAGTATGGTACAAAAATATTAATAAACTATTAACTATCAATACCACGTACAAAGTTATTAATATAATATTATATAGTACTGTTAACTTCAGTTGCGATAAGGCTTGGATGATGATGATGATGCTAGTACTGTTAACTACAATACAAATGCATTAAGATATTAATATATTATTATTGCTATTTGTGTCATTGTCGTCAATGTCAATATATTATTGATAAATGGGTCAATGATGTTGCTTTTAGAAATAATATATTATTGATACTATAATACAAATAAAATATATTAAAATTAAGTTATTCGTATAATATTAACAATACTATCAACTATAGTACAAATGTATTAAAATACTAATGTATTCTTATTGATATGTGTGTCAAGGCTGTCAATGTCAATATATTATTGATAAATGGATCAATGATGTTTCTTTAAAAAATAATATATTATTGAAACAACAGTACAAATACGTTAATATATTGTTAACTGTCGATACCAAAGTACAAAGTTACTAATATAATATAAGAACAATTGTTTCATTCGGGCTGGACCGAATTTTTACAATGTGCAGTACAAAGGTATAAACCATCCATCTTAAAGATGGATGCAAATAGGTGGTCCATCTAAAACAATTGTAACTAACGGTCCAAATGATTTCTTAATATAATTATTATTTCTAGTTTTCAAAATTAATTTATTTTTCATATTCATGATCTCCATGTTAAAGATTATATATTCTCTAAAAATTAAGATCAAATTATTTTTAAAAAATATATTATTGTGGAGTCTGCATTTCTATAATATGCGGGCTGGCCGCATGGTAACCGTGTCCATAATATGATAAAGTACAATTAAAAACAACATAAATGTACTAAAATATTGACAATATACGTCTCTCTCTCTCTCTCTCTCTCTCTCTCTCTCATTGCTCCCACCCCCACATTCTAGGGCTGCCTGTGTAGGCACCTAGGTGGCTGGCTGATGGCCACCTAGGCGGCTTGGACCCTGGCCCCCTAGGTGCCTACATTTCCATTAGTGTCTTCTCATTGCTTCCCATTGCTTCCCCTGAGTGTCAATGACTGAAGGTAGTGCTCCGTAAATTGGGTCGAATCTTTTTGTCCCTGTACTTTCATTTTTTTTTTCTTCAAAATCATCCCATCCTTGCTTTCCAGTTAAATAGAATGGTGCCATTACTTGTTACTTTTTTCTGGAATTACATGTTGAAGCTTGTCAATACATAGGTCATTGGCTGGTCAATGTGGTTTTCTGAATATCTCTTCCTTGAGAGAAGCTGGGCTAAGGATGAAAATACTCTGAAGGTACATGTTACTTCTTGTACAATAGAAATATAAGTAATGGCTTTTAAGCTGCTACTATTGTTGGTCGCATCTAATTCAAATTGAATTGAGGTGCAGGCAGGTTTGCAGCGGTTGAAGGACTTCCCTCGGCCTTTCTGGTTGGCTCTTTTTGTCGAGGGAACCCGCTTCACACAAGCCAAGCTTTTAGCGGCTCAAGAATATGCTGCATCATCTGGCCTGCCAGTTCCAAGAAATGTTCTGATTCCTCGCACAAAGGTAAATGGTTTGTCAAAGATCGCATGAGTGATCTATTGTTTTCTTTTTCTAATGGAAAGAAAAGGCAGATAACTAGTTTGAACTTGCATCATTTGTAATGGTATTCTTTTCTTCATAAAATTGGGACCTTGCTTGCTTGCAATGTGGTTCTTCTCCAATTGGAGAATATTTGGATGGATATTGTCTAATAAAATGGGAATCTTCTTCAGCAATATTACTTCTCGTATTTGCTATGATCTAACTAAATTTATTATTATTATCTTTTTGAATAAGTTGACTTTTTGCTTTATTATTTTCTTGGCTTGAGATCCATTTTAATGTTTTGTATCTTTATATCTACTACTAGTAGAAATGGGTTAGGGTTTTCAATATTCTATGACTAAATCCCTTTGGAAGCAATTTGTTATAGCCGTCCTCGAAACACAATCTCTTAAATTCAATGTGCACTTTCAAAATGTGGGATTCCGTAATTTGTAGAGTTATGAGACTTAGATCTAACTTCTTACCATTGAGAGTAATGGCCCTGAGTCTCCAATTCAGCATTTCATTAGTAGTTGGCCCATTGGGTTCAAATCGGGCTAGCACTAACAAATTTTGTTAAGTGTCTGCTTGTTACTGCATTTTAGTTATCCATGATTCTATGGGCTCAATGTATTGTCTTTGGCCTTATGGTAACTCGTGGTTATTGGGTGATTATCTTTATGGCAAGGCTTACCAGTTTGCTAGATTTTATTGCCTTTGTGAGGTTGTGACATGTTACTTCTTGAAGCATTTTGGGCAATCCATTGTGCCATGCATCGGATGTGTGAAAGTATTATGTTATTAGGCATCATTTAGCGCATGTAGATATTTCGTAGAGCCCCTTAATGCTTCCTTAGTTTATTTCTACTCTAGATTGGGTATTAATGAGGCATGTGGTAAGCACTGTAGTTTTTAGTGGCATTGCACTTGGGAGAAATTCACAGGGAAGTGGCAGGCTCTCTTCAAGATGAGTCATTGTGTAGCATGATATTAGAATGTTCCAGTCAACTCAAAACTTTGAGTAAGTTGACTTACCTGGGTCATAATTGACACCTCCCACACCTTATGTCAATTGCGGAATTGGCCAAAACTTCTATGGTGGTTTGGAGGACAATTGTCCAGTTTTAAATCCTGAATTTTAGTAGGATAGCGGTCTTAGGAAGTACCAATGTGCTTTTGTCTTGCAATTTGGAGGGAGACTTGTATGCTGAAGTCAGGAGTTATAACTTGCCAACAAGAAGTTTGGAGATCTTTAATCATGATTTTGCCATGGTAGATTTTCCTACCGAGCAATATAGGGATGATAAGTGAAGTAAATGAGTTCCTCAATGAAAGATTTCAAATGAAGGACCTAGAAGAATTGAGGTATTTCCGAGGAATTGAAGGGGATCTTTATTGTAATGAGAGTTGCCTTTCACAACAAAAATATGCTTTAGATATTCTGGAAACGGCTAATATGCTGAATTGTAAACTTTGTCCCACTCTAGTAGCTTTAAATAGAAGATTATGTGCCAATCAAGGAGACCCACTGTTAGAGCTAGAAAAATACAGAAGTGTGACAGGGGCCGTTACAATATTTGACTCTTACATGCCCTAGATATTTCATATGCTGTTTATAAGATATTTTAGTACATGCATGCGCCAACCACTGTACACATGGAGGCAGTGAAAAGGATTATTAGGATTGTGAAAGGTTCTATTAGCAGTGGTTTGTTGTATAAGAAAAATAAACAAGTAAACAAGTGAGTCTGGATTTGGGGCCTGTAATTGGATATTCAGATGCAGATTGTGTAGGAGATCCTGATTCTAGAAAATTAGTTTTGGGTTACTGTGTTTTTTTTGGGCGATAATTGAATATCTTGGAGGAGTAGGAAATGGAAAATAGTTGCCAGATCAAGCACTGAAGCAGAATACATGGCTCTTGCTAGAACGGTGGCAGAGATTACATGGGTTCGTAGTCTCATATGTCAGCTGTGTTATAAAATTGACAGTTCGTCCACCTATTGTGACAAGTGCTTTAGCAATTGCTGCAAACCCAATATTTCATGAAAGATAAAACACGTTGAGATTGATTATCATTTCATCCGAGAAAAGATAGAGGCTCAAGAGTTTGAAGCAAAATTCATTGGTATAGAAAATCAAATCACAGATATATTTACAAAAGGTTTATCAAGGCAAACACATGATTATTTTAAGAAGCAAGTTGTACATGTTTAAATACGATGTTACAACTTGAGGGGAGTGTTAGAAAACTTGTTTTATGTATATTCCTTCTTTGTTTATGTATATTCATTAAATTGACATGTATTTGTACAAGGGCATTTTCGTAAAGCTATTGCCTTAATGTAACACCATTCATTTAATACAAGGATTCATTATCCTGACGTGCCACACAGCCCAGTTCTGTTGAAGCCAAGCCGACCGTGCCTCGTTTTCTTCTTTCTTGTCTTCTTCTTGTTTGTGTTCCAGGTGCGAGATCTTGTCAGCCATAAGTAAAATTATCAGAACCTTGTGGGGATCGCTTTATGTTGGTAGGATGGTTCCCCTGGCAGTCGTATGTTGCACACTTAATTTTGACTGCTGTTGCAGGAGTGGCACTAGCATAATCTTGGTTTTTTGAAGTCCCATAAGTACTAAGCACAATTGATAGGATTTAAGATTTTATAGCACTTGCAATTTTTCTACCCAGTTATATGCCATTTATATCATTTGATGGGTTTAAGAGTAGGCATTTCTTCTGATTTGTTGGGCCTTTCCTCAAGAAGATGAGACGATGTTGGATTGTTTTTAGGCCATTCGGTTGCGTGGGTGGTGATAGGCCTTTAGGATGTCAGATATGGGTTGGGGTAAGTAATGTTGGTTATGGGAGGAGATTTCAGCTAGCAATTGCTGGGTAGAGTGGTAGCATCATTGGCTATTGTTTGGGTGAGTTAGGCTGTCACTAAGGTTTAGTTGTATGAACCTCTTGCTAGGTAATATACGAATTTCTCTGTGGGTTTCATTCTTGCTCCGTTGTGACAATGTTTAGGTGATGTATAACGGAAAATCGTTTGCTTCCTTGGTCCTGCAGGTGTTTTTGGAAGCCAAATTTTGGTGTCATATAAGGTCTTCCATACTCCAGGGTGATGGTCGACTCCTGGTTCTCATGTTGTATTGATTGTGTCATTTGTTTGTATCAATACATGTATATTGAATGTCGGAATATGATTGTATACACATGCACATCGACGCATATCTTAATAATTTCTTGGGTTTTCTAGCATGCATCATTGTAAAGGTAAACGTAGATGATCCTACTTGTAAAGCTTTTTGACCATAGTTTGCCCCTTTTACATGCTTGTATAGTTTACAATACTTTGCTTTAAAAATTATAAATGGTATATCATGTAACTTGAAAATCCTTCCGAAATTCCACTTTCAATGAAAATAATTAAGGGAGCTCAAGTTCATTTTGAAATTTGGTTTGAGTCTCTAGAGGATTTGGATTGACATTATTAACCTAACAATTTTGTTACATATCCATTCGCAAAATAAATGAAACTTCAATGGTCAATGACAAAAGTGTTTACTCTTTGTTAGGGGCTGTGTGGTCCTAGATTAATGTTTTGTACTATTGCATTCAGGGGTTCGTTTCAGCCGTCAGCAACATGCGCACATTTGTTCCCGCTATATATGATGTGACAGTGGCCGTTCCTAAAGATCAACCTTCACCTACAATGCTGAGACTTTTGAAGGGGCAGTCTTCTGTGGTAGGACAATTTATTTTTTTCTATGTTTGTAGGCCATTTATTCTAGTTGAAAGAATTGCTTTTGATAATTTCTTTCTTTAAAGATATTGTTATATTTTGAAATTGTTTATTCATCACTTCACGAATATATTGTTGGTCCCATTGTGATGGAAAATTACAGTCATGCATTGAGTTGCTATAATGTTGCTTTTAACTTTAATTTATCATAGTTATTCACAATGCGCCAACCACATATATCTGTTGAGTTACTATAGTGATTCACAGTTACTCTCATAGTTTCAAAAAGCACTAGGCAGGTCCTAGGCGGCCTGGGGGGTCCAAGCTGCCCAGTGTCTAGGTGGGCGCCCAGAACCTGGGCGGCCCAATCGAATCCAAAAAGGATGCCCAGTGCAATATGCTTCTAAAGACTCAAAATCTTCTAAAAAACCCCCCAATAGATTTATAAAACATCAAAAATTAAATCACATATCAATGGGTGATGTTTTGATCAATTTATATCAACTTTGAAAAAAAATAATTTCCGCCTCGTCTAGGCGGCTGCCCAGGGACTGCCACCCAGATTGGCCGCCTAGGCCTGGGCGATGCGCTTAGGCCTTTTGGACCGCCTAGGTGCTAGGTCGGTCCGCTTTTTGAATCACTGGTTACTCTTGATAAGTATATTTTCTTTAGTAGGTTATAGATTACAATTGAGGAGAAAAACCCATTGCCTATCCTTGATTTTTCAATAACCAAAACCATCATTTACTCTAATCAAATAACACTGGTAACTCCAAAAACAAAACAAAATAAACAAAATTACACAGCAATTCAATCTCCGCTAATAGAAAATTCCTCAAAGTACAAACTCATGAGCAGATTATGTCCAAAAAAATCCCTTAACTCAGCTCCAAAGCTGTCAAAACCGAATGCTCAACTTGAATCCCACTGCATTCAAAGCACATGATAATGTAGACTGCAACACAAGCTGCACAAAACCTTCTTGTAAGCCAACTTGAATTCATAGAGAGATTACAATAGACCCAACTTCACCAAATCTGCTATTTCTCATTCATAAATATATTTCACAAAACCAACAAACTCGGTATTAGTACACTGCACCAATCCTCCAAAACCAACGAGAAGAAATAAAATCGAATCCTCCAGGGATCCCATAACAATCTTACATTTCCTTTCATAACTAAATACAATAAACAGGCAATAAGCAATCCAACACCAAACCAGATTAAAAAAATCTCTGCAAGTCTATTAACAAAGCACTGAAACAGTAAAAAGATCTGCCTTTTCAATCTTCCCCGTGTCTCCACAAACCCATCTAAAAACCCAGAAATGGAAAAGCGACTAACTCATTGAATTTCAGGAAAAATTAGATTCCAGTAATCACTTCAAGTTCACAGCCGAGAAACCAATTCATACCAAGATGTTGTTTTCTCCTCTTACTAGTTTTCCCACCAACTTGCAGAGAGAAGCTTCGTCTCAGATTGAGATGGACTTGCAGAGAGCAGCGAGCTAAAAACCCAGAAATGGAAAAGCAACAACTCATTGAATTTCAGGAAAACCCAGATTCCAGTAATCACTTCAAGTTCACAGCCGAGAAACCAATTCATACCAAGATGTTGTTTTCTCCTCTTACTAGTTTTGCCACCAACTTGCGGAGAGGAGCTTCGTCTCAGAGTGAGACAGACTTGCAGAGAGGAGCGAGCTAAAAACCCAGAAATGGAAAAGCAACAACTCATTAAATTTCAGGAAAACCCAGATTCCAGTAATCACTTCAAGTTCACAGCCGAGAAACCAATTCATACCAATATGTTGTTTTCTCCTCTTACTAGTTTTCCCGCCAACTTGCAGAGAGGAGCTTCATCTCAGAGTGAGATAGACTTGCAGAGGAGCGAGCTTAAGGGCTTCACAGGGGGTTCCTGTTCTTTGTAATTTAGGGCTTCACAAGAACTTCATTACGGAGAGAGAGAGACTTGCAGAGAGGCGTGAGCTTTAGGGCTTCACAGGGCTCTCGTTCCTCTTTCTGGTTTTGGGCGGACCTAAAAATGTTGACCAAAATTATATTTTGTGAAACTTTTTTGGCTCCGGGCGGGGATTTCTTTATCCTTCAACACGTGGATTCGCCAATTCTACTGTTTTCAATGGAATAAGGCTATCCTTGATTTTAACAGGAAAACGTGGATTGGCCTCTCCGCAAGATTCTCCAATCCGCGTGTCTTATTGCTACCCAAACAAGGGAAACGGCCCCAAAAGCTGGATAAGCTTCTCTCGGAGAGCCAAATCCAGGTTCCCAAACGGGCCCTAAGACAAATGCCTCTCTCATACTGAACGAAGATTAAAAGTGCAACCACTGATGCCCCTTATGTATTGGAAATAAAAGACTAAGAAAGTAAAATGCACTTCCTTGTATTATACTTTCAACCATGATTGTTTGGCATGTCTCTATGGTGCTATATGGTGCAGTCTTCTAGAACTCGGTGCATCTTCATAAAGCAAAATTGTAATGCATGCTATGATTTTCTGTCGCAGAATGCCATGATGTATATACAATACGCCACATTTTACACTGATTTAGTAGACGATGCAATCTAACCAAAATTTTTTCTTTACTGATGTATTGTCCTTTATGTCATTGCTGGAACAGTATGAGACAGTACAGTTAAATGGCATTGTGCATAACATATTTTGAATTGGAGATATTTTGATGGCATTTATGTTTTCCTAAAATTGTTCTTCCCTCTGCAGTTGCATGTCCATATGAAGCGGCATCCAATGAATGAACTACCTCAAACAGATGAGGGTGTTGCACAATGGTGTAAAGATACTTTTGTGGCCAAGGCATGCAAATTACTTTTGTGCTGAAGTTTGGGATCTTTTTTTTTTGCCCCTAAAATTTCTGAAATTGTTCTGGATATGCAATTAAAGAAACAATCAAGAGCAAGTATTTATGATAATTTGGCATAGCCAGCCAGTCTGTTGACATTATACATGGTGTCCATTGTTAATGTAAGTTGTTCCGTCATTATTAAACAGGATGCGCTATTAGACAAACATCAAGCGGAGAACACTTTTGGGGAGCAGCTGTTGCAGCCAATCGGACGGCCAAAGAAGCCTTTACTGGTAGACTACATGCTACTAAATACCTTTGTGGTTAATTGTATATCTTTGTGGTTAATTGTACACAGGTTGCTGGTAATTGTTCTGTTGGTAAAATATTCGTTACTTTATTGCTTAGGATATTTGTTTTGCAAACATGCCTTTATTTCATAAATATGCATCTATGAATACAATGGGATCTTCGTTTTCTCCCAAAAATCATGGCACTATAGGCGGGGTGGGGAGGGTTCAAAAATTTGCTCCGAGTTGAGTTAATTTTCTTGAGTCAGAGCTGACTTTAGATGGTTGACCCTTTGGTATCCAGTTTTTGTGGTTTTAGCCGTATCGGTAACTTGGCTACTGTAATGCCTGATGTCGAAAAGGGTCATCTTTTTAGATTATTGACAGTTTCTTTATCGAAATGAACAATGTACAAAGGAAATGTTCAAGAGCATGGGAAATACAAGAACGATGGCCATGAGATGTGAAGATGGCATCTTGTCGACCACTGTTCTCCATGAACAGGCTTTGCTGTTCTTACCCACTATTGGGACGAACATTGGTATGCTTGTTCCTTCTCGTGGATGGGTGAAATAATACCTCCTTGTGATGGGTCATATGGAAAATCTCATAAAAAACTATCTCCAATCACCATGGAACCATACCTCTTTTGAGCCACTTTATGCCATTGAGGAAAGCAAATTGAATGGGAAAAATATTCAAAAAGGAACTTTTCTGCCTTTTTGAGAATCATGCTTACTGACCTGAAAACAATTCAATCCTCCTTTCTGTATCCAAATCAGTCCACCTACTCTTGCAGGGACTTGATTGCCTCAAGAACAATTATCAAAATTAACAACTTTGGGCTAGAAAAGTAACAAATTTGGACACTGTTTATTTCCTGATTGTTGTTTTATCGTTACTCAATTAAAATAACAAATTGTGGAAACTATTCTGATGGGCTACGCATGGGAAGTTCCGGGATTTGTATAGAGGATTCATGTAACATTTGAGTTTTCTTGATTGAAATTTATTCCAGGGAAATAATTCATGGAGGCTTCTGTAAGTGTGGATTTTTTGTTAATCTTGTTTTAGTGTTGGTTTTTATTTCTTCCATGTGAACGCCCGTGTTGGATATGGAAGTACTTGTTATTGATTCTAGATTGAGTTTAGAGGATTTTTCTTTGGTTACCTGAGAATTTATTTTAGTTTGGGATGCTAGAAATCTAATCGAAATTTTCGTTCATGTATCCCTAAATTGAGAGTGAGAATGGCTCTTGTGAGTCCCCTATTTTTGGCTTTTTTATTTTTTTTCCTCAAATGCTCCCATTTTAGACCTTCAAGGTTCGGAGTGACAATAAAATTCTCTAATCAGGATCTTCATGGTCCGAAGTCAATGAAATTCTTGACTCAGCAAGATGCATGCACTTGGGCCTTCAAGGTCCGAAGTTCAATTGGGCCTGCAAGTAAGTACAAGGGCCTCCAGCCATACATCTCTTGTTATTGTTGACATTAAACAAAAGTCCATGCACTTCGGTCCAAAGTACCTTCAAGGTCTGAAGTGCACTTACTTGCACTTTGAACATCAAGGTCTGAATTGCAAATATTTTATTGATTCAATCCTTTTTGCTGTTACTTGAAACCATTTTTAGAATATAAAAAAAAAGGAGAAAAAGTAGTATGAGCATAAAGTACAAAAAATTGAGGGGATATTTGTAGTAACGGATATTTAGGGGAACATGAGCATAAATTGCCCAAAATCTAATTCAGGAATGGACTTCTACCTAAGAGTTCCTTTGAGAGAAAAAGTCATAAGGCATTTAAGTAGTTCTATGAGTGTTTTTCGCTACCACCAAGTAATGGGTTTGAAGTCAAAACATCCTTCATGTTTAACTTTCACTTTACTTTCTTGTACAGGTTGAATTACTATTTTTTTCCTACTTATTTGAATACCTTTTTCTATCTCTCTGTATAGCTCCCATTGCAATGACATGATCCCAGATCCATCATGTTTAACAATATTACAGCATATATTATACTTACCCCCAAAAAAAAAAAACAGCTTATATTATAGATCGAGCATTGGACATTGGTTATTGATTAATGGCGGTGGTGTGCATGGGTTAATTTCTCCCCTATTGCCACCGTCTGTGATCAGGAACAGATGGTAGATGCCCCATTTTGGTACTCTCTACCATAACCATTGGATGAGGAAATTCCGTGATATAGTAATGGTGGACATTTCATACAAGTTCTGAGTCATTCATTTTCTATTAGTCAAGTGTAATCTTCTGGCATTTGATCTGCAGGTGGTTATCTGTTGGTCAGCTATTCTTCTATATGGCACCTTCAGGTTTTTCAAATGGTCGTCAGTTTTATCCACATGGAAAGGAATCCTATTCGTGTCGGCAGGTTTGCTTTTTGTAACCCTAATTATGCATGTGTTCATCTTATTCTCTCAATCAGAGCGCTCCACTCCTAAAAAGGTAGCTCCTTCCAAGGACAATAATGTGAGCGCTCCCTTACAAACCAACCACAAGAAGGAACTTTAATCATTAGAATGTAAGCATCATCTCTTCCCTTGTTTCATCTTTGTATCAGTGTATCTTCTAATATATTTTCCTTGCCTATCTGTCTCAAACTTTGTAAGCCAATGAGGACAATTACGGGGTCCGGTCCCAAATGGTATGGACTGAGATGATTGTTGTTTATGAGAGGGTATTAGTCAAATGATATGTACATTTTTGGTGAAGAAAAGTTTCACAAGGATGCTTTCCTTTGGTTTAGTCTCGCAGTTAGTGATAGAAGCATTTACTTTGTGAATGATAAATGCAGCTGACCTTGACTTTTAGTTTTCATGGATAAACAATATAAACAATTCTGTTCTTTCTGGAAAGAGGAAAAAAAATCATATCAGCCACTTGTTTCCTTTAGAGCCAGCAGCTATGGAAGCATCATTCAGTGCCCACATGCCACGTGCTTTCTTCTTTGTGTCAAATCAGTTGCATACAACGCATGAAGTCCCTTGGGAACACCATTAAAAGAGGTTTGCTTGTTGCCTGCTCCTCTGATAAGACGTTCACACTGCTTTAGTCTAAGTATCCTTTCCCCCACAAACCCTACAGAATGTCAAAAACTAAGTCTCTTTCAAAGAAAGAAAACGTTAAAAAGGAAGATCACAAGAAAAAGGTAGGAATACCAGCCATTTCTTATTCAATGGCCAACCCAATGTGGGAAAGAAAGATTTCTATTTGTTTCTTTCAAGAAGAATGTCAGCCGCAGTAATGATTTTGTCTCCCTCTCTAGGAATCCACAGTATTTGCTCAAACAGTGCCCAGTTTGTTGAGCCCGAAATGACAGAAGTACCCTAAGTGTGAGTGATACAGAGAGTCTCCAGAAAAATATCTCTGTTCCTTTTTTTTTGGCTAAAAGGGAAGTGTCTTTGGATTCTTTGGTTGTCTCATATGATGTAGCTTCAATGTTGTAATTTTGTATTCTCTCCTCAGCAATAAAATATCGAATATTGTCAAAAAAAATATCTGTTTCTTTTTGTTCCTTGGGATGCTTTCTCATCACTTCTTTTGTCGCTTCTCTCTCCCTTGTGTTGATGGGTGCTAAATATTAATGAGTTGTTATTTATCAGATAAAAATATTTTCTAGCATTCTGTTTCTCTTTTCTGTAAAATTGACCTCACAGTTGAGGATATTGAGATTAGAAACCTTATGGTTTCGGTTACAAACATGTTATGGATGTCCTCGAGTCTCAGGAAATGAGAAAAAGGATCTCTATTGGTTTATTTGTTTCATATGACAGTTCCTCTTAAGAGGAAAAAAGAAAAGAAAAAAACATACGTAGACAAATAGATCGACTCCTAGTTTGTTTGATTAAAGGGTAAAAGGCATAAAGCTCCCTCGGAAATTATAATCCCAAGAAACCCCTTGGTCGCATGAATATCTTATGGAACCCCTCCAAGTTAAACAAAAAAAAGTGTTATACTTTTTGTATTTTTTATATTGACGAAATTATAAAATTTACCCTCTTTTTTTCCTTAATTGATCATGTTATCTAAATCTTGAAAAAGCATTCCCTATCATTCTCTTTCTTCCCTCCCTGTGGACGTCTTCCTCTCTCGGGCTACCTTCCTTGAGTACTTCTGTCTCACATCTCATGAACTTACAAGGAAGCAGTGTTTCAAAAAGCGTTAAGTGGCTTTAAGGCAGTTGGGAGGTTTCAGGCTGCCCAGTGCTTAGGTGGGCATCTAGAACTTGGACGGTTCAATAGAAATATTTTTTTTTTTGGATTTTTTCTCTCTAAAATAGCCTCTAATGGGTTTTAGGTTTCGAATGAATTTAAAATTTATAATTTTACTTCTTTCTTACTAAAAAAATGATTTAAAAATGCTCTCAGAGTTATGGTTCCGCCCTTGGGTGGGGCGTAAGTCTTGGGCAGCCACTTAGGCGGTTTCAGGCGGGTGCTTAGAGAAATCCGGCCGCCTAGGCACCGGGTAGTCTGCTTTTTTAGACAATTCAAGGAAGTAAAAAGAGACATTGTGACTCGATTTTTTATGATGATGTTATTGGAAAAAAGAAATCTGAATTATATGGTTTGGATAATGAAAAATGAAAGGCGGTGGTTAAACGTTCATTTTTTTGCGACTTGGGGATTTCATGGGCTAAACGGTTATTTGAAAAAATAAATTTAGGGGCGGGGTATATGTCTTTCACCCTTTAAAGCCTGGTCATCGAATTGCTTTGGCATCACTTAGGCTGTTTGGGTTTTGGAACTTGTGTGTCCGATCATTTGGGTTTTGGAACTTGTGTGTCTCATTTATTGTTTTAACAACAAGATGGCAATATCCAACATCCATTTCTGCCCATTATGCCTTTGGATTTTCAAAATACGGACCCATCAAATTACCGGAATAGACGTTTGAAGAGCTGGGTAATAATTTTATTAGCTGATATTTTAAAAGTATGGGCTTTGCAGTAATAAAGGTAGGTTCATTTTCTAATGGAAAAAGTTTATACAAGTGCGAGGCTCTAAACAATCAAACTAGGGTGCACTTCAACAATATCATTAGAAGAAGTTGTTTTGATGCCTGAATATCCTCAAATTGATCATCTCGACTTCAAGATACATGGACATAAAAAAAAAATGGATTTCAAGTTTTAGAAATAATGCATCTTGTAATGTATTTTTGTACAGTCAATTTTCAAGATTTTCATAGATCTGCTGGATCTACATTATATTTGAAGCTTTAAATTTTATAATTAGAGATGAAAATATATTTTAAGGCTATCACAAAAATTTCCAATATTGAATCATATTCTCGACATTATTTGAAGATGCGTTTTATTTTGATTGTTTAGAGCCTCAGCTCGTACCCTTTTCTAATATTCTCGATATTATTTGAGGATGCGTTTTATTTTGATTGTTTATGAGCCTATAATGCCTACAATAGGCGATATATTGAAGAAGACGGATGTAATAGAGTCTATGTGCCTTTGCTTTCTAAAACATTGAAACAAATTTTCTCTTTTCGTTTTTTTCCTTGATTTCGAGATAACAAGATACTGGTTCCCATGCCTATAAATGATGGGGGCAATAAACCTCGAAACCGCTAGTGTTTGATAAAAAAAGTGGCTCGTTGTATATGCATTTCGAAACAAGTGGGTCGCAAAATCAAAATGTGGCAGTCCTGCTTCTATATGGCATTTGCCCTCCTATTTTGAAAATTGGGATGAAAGAGTCATTTAGCATAGAGTCATGGGCACGTTTGAAATGGAAAGTGATGTACACCAAACTCAACCCAATAACACCCATTATATTCCTTCTTGTGAATTCAACTTTGTGGAGTAGACTTGGGTGGTTCATGTTGGGAGTGAATCATTGTTGCTCTTCCATTAAAAGATTTTAAAATAATATATATTAAAAGAAGAGAATATTGGGGGGGGGAGAGAAAATAGGTACTATAAATCCCCACCCCATGGGGACAATTGAAGGAAACTTGCACTACCCTATGGAGAAACCAAAGCTTCCTACCATTTACTTGCCTCTCCTTTTCCTTCTTCTTCTTCTGCTGGTTTCTTTTGATGGTATCTTGCTATCTATGCCTTTAAAATCCAAGTGGTCAACTTCTTTTCTCTTTTTTGCATTCTTAGCTTTCTGGTTTTTGTTTTTTGTGTTTTTGTTTGTTTCATGCATCTTTCTCATCAAGTTTCTTAGGTTCACTTTGTCTTGATTCTACCTATTTTTACTCTTCTTGTTTCTTCTTTAAGATTGGAGAGACTTAGCCATTTGAGGAGGACCATTGAGATCGCCTGAAGTTACAAAAATTTTTATTAGATGAGAAATTCTCTCAAATTTTTAGTTTACCATGTGCAAATTGGAGATTGTATTTCAGATTTTGGTAAATTTCGAAATCGAAGTGTAGAGCTCTGGATGGGTGAGAAAGAGCCCAAGGCCGAGCTACTAATTGTTGTAAGGTTGTTTCTTTCATTTGAGAAGGGCTTACTGGTTTTTAGTTATTGGTAAAAAATTTGGTTTCAAATTGTAGATTTTCATAGCCAAGACTCTTGAGTTAGGAGGGGGATTTTGAGGACACAAAAACTTTCAAATCATCTTTATCTCACTTTCTAAAAAATTATTTCAAGCTCAAGAAATGCTCCAAATCAATGTTCTTTCTATGATTGCCTCTAGACAAGGACAATCAGATTTAGCCACCTTGAAACCAAATTTTAATTTTTGAAATGGAATTAGGGTGAATTAAAGATACTTTTGAAAGTTTCAGGTTATGAAATCTCCCTTAACTATTTTTTCTGCTTGAGGGACCAAAAGTACGATTCGGCACTGGGGGACCAGTCACAATATTTATTTACCTTTTCACTATTTTGATTCCAAAGCAAATACTGTTGCATTATTTTCAATTTTTCAGCACCAGAATGACCTGAACTTGGACTTTTGAAAAGAACATGTCATGCTTCGCAATGAAGAGAAAATCACAATCTAAGGGATTTGTGATTATTTTGCCCGAGGGAGTAAATGGATAATATATTAGCGTGGGAGTAGGAGATCTTTTGGCTTAACTAAAGAAGTAACTGCTTGTTTTGGAACATGATATTGAGAGGTCCTCCACTGTCAACAACAAACACCAATTTGGCCTCCTATTCATTGGAAGTTTCCTTTCAAAAGGAGGAATAGCAACCTAATCCAAAGAAAAAATTAAAAAATATGGTGAAAAGAGAAATTTTCCATAAATATATATTACGATTTTATGCCTACTTCTTTTCAAACAATCCACTTACAAACTCCTATCAGTATTTTCCAATGAGCTAGGAAACATCCCTCCTTAAGAGACAAAATTGAAAAATGAATAGATACAGATGAGCCTGAGTCTACTGCACAGACAAACAAAAAAATACTAAAAAAAAAGGAAAAACTAATAATGAGATATTGGCATGGTGGATTTACAGGCACTCGAAATGCAGTGGAAGGCAGCAATCTATGTGAGAAACTGAGCCACACATTTCACGGGTGCCCTGATGACGAAGAACAATGTGAGAAAGTCTGCATCTCTCAGAAGGCCAACACTGGAAAGTGTCACTACTCTGGATGCTATTGCTATTTCGACCATTGCTGACCATTTCTCCTCCTCTTGTGTTACATGCTGGTATTGTATATTAGAATGATAAAAGCTCATAATGATGTAATGGTTGTAAAATAACCTGTAATGGGAGCGTTCTTGCTTGATGTCTTGGTAGAAAGCTCGAAATCAAAAGGAAGAAGGGCCTTTTGGTCCATTGCAGTGGGATAGGATGTATTTACTTTTCAATCCAACAGGTTCCAACACC